TGAGGTTTTCACATTTTTTGTGTCTGAATTTTTCCAGCTCAGTTGTTGTTTTAAGCGCGCTTTAATCTTTAATCTTTAATGTCTGCCTTTTGTAAGAACCCACCGTCCAATCAAAGAGATGAAAACTCTGTGTTTTCCACCTTGGTCTATAAAATGGTTGGGAGAGCAGAGTCTGTAGAGGTGGAAATGGAGAGATCAGGATTTTGGCCCAGTGCATTTGTGTGCAAGTACAAAATGTCTAAGAATGAAGAAATGTCTCTCTCCTCTTGACAGGTCGGTCATTTGGTGAGTGAACAAAAGCATTCGAGGTAAATGGTCAGGAGAAAAGTAGAGGAAATTAAGGTGTGAATAGAAAGAGTAGCTAAAAGAGAATGAGACGGTGGGTATAGATGTTCTGAAGGTGAACAATGATGAGATGATGAGCCTTTCACCGTATAATCAGCCACGTTTCATTCTGTATAAAATGGTTCTTCACAAAGAAAAGGTAAAATAATAATTCTTTTGACAAAGGCTACCTTATTGGTCATCATTACTCTCCTGTCCACGGTGAGCAGAGCAAAAAGATCCAAGATGATCCTCACTGGACCATGTGATCAATACATCCATAAAAAGGTCAAGAAAACAAAACTCAACAAACAGCTCGCCACTTTCTTTCTCCCTTGTGGGTTTTTATGTACTTTTGAGTACAGTATACTGGAAGTACTTAACTTATTCTTAAACACCGTAGGTCAAGGACGCTGTAACTCAATCCCCCCGTATACTCTGTCAAACTGTAAAAGAAATATTCGCAATAAATGTCTCATTTAGATTCAGTAGCAAATATTTAAAAATAAATGCAAAAAACGCAGTTGTTTAGTCAATCTTTCAAAAGCAGAAAACTGTCGAGGTAAATGAAGCCACACTGTGTTGGAAGTACATGTTTCACTGTATCTGATAAACAACAAAAAAACCCATAAACCAATTCATTTTTTTTCCTACTTCCTCTTCACGTAGCTTGACTTTTTGTCCTGCTGCTTTAGCAGCGGTCCAATTTCACCTTATGATTTTCTGACGTTGTCCAGGTAAATGTTTGGTCAAAATATGACTGTCTCCCACTGTTATTCCAGTGGTACGTTGGCCAGTGTTGGCTGTTACTTTGCCAGGACATTTTTGTTGTAGATATTAGACTCAGCAGTAGGTTTGCCCAGGAAGGGCAATCCAGTGTAAAAAACCCTGCTAAGTCACATGCAGACCTTTGCTGCTGTGACCTCCGATTAAAGGGAAATCCAAAAGTGGTTTTGCAGAAGGATTTACAAAAATTCCATCTTTCTCCTCTCTTCTTTCTTGGAAATTAAAATGTTCACTGTACCAGGACAACAGCATCTCAACACGTGGTTATTCCTTGTTTTATTTATATTGTGTCTGGATGGAGTTATCTGAACTCGGACTAAATATTCTCTGTATTGCCATCTGATTGGTTCTCTGCTGTGGCAACGGTATTGGTTTATTCCACACAGGAATCTGTGTGATACCAACTCGTCATTTGTTGTATTTATCTTTCCAACAACAGATTCTGTGATACTGGAGCTCCTCGTACACTCGCCTAAAGACAAGCAGTTCATGTGTGATAAAATTCCTGCACACTAACTGAGCAGGGCAATGAGTTACAGCAGCTGCAGTCGATTTGTGGCCAACTTGAGCCTTCCATGTTCATATTTCTGAAACGGAAATAGACTGGAGTAAGTTTGTTAATTGGTTTTTGTTCCAGTTAGGTAATTACAGTTGACTGTTTGTCTCCGAGCCTTGGGCTCTGCTGACTTTATTTTCCTGTCATTAAACCGGTCGACTCGTGTTCACTTATTACAATGGCTGCTGCCGTACCATTTCTTGCTCGAGAAAAAAAAGAGAGACTTTGTATTTTTTCCATTTAAACTCAAACAAAAACAATTAAAACAATCATATTATTTCTCAAGGTGATAATTTTTCTTCAACTCTTCTTTAAATGAACATGTGTTGAAGCTGAACTCCTGGTGTCGAATAAGGATCTGTCATGTTCCAGTTTATTGTGACAATATTTTAGTCTCGACTTTCACTGACCCAGCGATGTTTACATTTGTACCGACATAAGTTTGGCATTTGTACGTTCAACGTTTGCTTTTACCCTTTTGTTGATAGAAAATGTCAGTGTGAGACTGAGGAAACACAGATTTACAAATGGAGGAAAGTGATGGAGAAACGGAGGAGGAGCAACAGCAGCTTCTTCATCCCTGTGGCTTTAATACACTGAGCAAACAGTGAGGATGAACAGGCCCATGTGTATGTGTGTAACAAGTGTGTGTGTGTGTGTGTGTGTGTGTAAAAGCTCTCCTGGTGGTGGTGGTCAGGTGTGCGTTGGGCTGTGACTTAGACCTTGAAAGTAGGGCAGACCATTTTTATAACTATGAAAAAGTGGTATGAGTTCACATGAAAACAAACCTCCCTGAGCAGGCCTGTGATCAGTCACAGTGTCGAGACAAACATTGGCTGGCTCACTACAGTGGTAACCAATGGCAGTTTGTGCTTCGAACAGTGATACTGTGATTGGTTAAAAATGAGGAAATAGGTCATTTTGAGCCTTCACGTGTGTCAACAAGCTGAGCATCGTACAGAATGGTTTGTCTTTACTGTGATTCGGATTTTATTTTTTTACTTTTACTTTTGTTTGACGGGGCCAAATCTGGGCCACAAACCATCATTTGAATCTAAAAACTGCACTGTGAAGTTTGATATACAGTATGTGTAGATGTCATATATACTGTATGAACTACTTCTGACTCTCATTCTGTGAACATTGAGTGTCGTGTGTACTAATATTTGGTCTCCCTTTGAAGTGCAGTTACTCTCAGTATAATTCTAAATCTAAATCTAAATCTCGTTGATTAACATCTGCGTTCACCCTAATGTTACACTGGCAGAAGGGAAATCAATGGTTAGTCCGCCTGTATGTGGCGCTCTAAGGTGACTTCCAGGGTCAGCTGTCTTCATTGTCAAAGTCTGCCCTCACGTAGGTCACGCTCCGCTTCCTTTTAGCTCATTCACACACACACTCACAAACACACACACATATTTTTACACTCCAAATGAGTTCCCGTGGGACGACGTGTCTCCTGTCAGGACCCGCTGTTGCTTAGAGACTGGTCCTGGGGCGAAGCAGTCACACGCACTCTTCCTCACTCTTCTGGCCTCGTTACACTTTTAGTAAGAATGATGATGGCACTGAGCCATTTATTGTCCCTAAGCTCAAGTTAAAAGTGTGTGTGTTTGTGTGAAAATGTGTGTATATTAGGTGGACTAAATAAAATAATATTCCTAGATTGTTCATTCTTTACTTGCCCTCTTTTTCCCTTCTAGTTCTGCCCCTAGAAAGAAAGGTATTAATATAAATTGCTGTATCAGTTCCACGTTACCCCACATATGCACACAGAAACACAGCGTTGCGCTCATAATGTTGGTGCCATTTTTTTTTTATTATCTGCAGCTCCACTTTAAGTTCAGTAATTATACACAAGCAGACTTTTTTACAGAGATAAATTTGCTGGCTGCTATGAGAAGGCGAGCTTTTTTATCTTGCTTTTTCGTGGCGTATTTCACCGAGATAACAAATTAGATTTTGTGTCTGTGTGTATGTGTTCAGTTATGGCACACGATCATACACACTTCAGATTACTCCCAGCGAGTGTGCGCATGCTTTTCGCGACAGCAAGAGGAAGATAAATGGTATTTTTCTCTCACGCGCTGATGAACAGTTTATCAATTCTGCTGATTTCCAAATCTAAGGAGAGAAAAAAAAAACGGCATCTGCAGCGTGTGATGGCCTCACTCGAAGAATTGAGCAGCTGTTAGATATTTCAGGGAGCCTTATGAGCACTTAGAGACTTGAAACCTCAGGGGATCGTTGTTTTGCTCAGCTCTGTCCTGCTGTTTACTGACGCTGTTGGGATGCAGTCTAGGCTTCAGTAATGCAATAATAAAAGAGGTTTTCTCTTAAGTCCTTCTCACATATCTTCAAAAAAACAAAAACAAGTTTCTCACTTTTCCAAAGTTCAGTAATAAAAACAAGAGTCTCTACCTCACTTTATTTTTAATGCAAAAAGAAAAAGGGAAGATGTTTAACATGGACATTAACATCATTTTAAATCTGATGCTTTCAACATTACATTTTTGACTGGATGTGACATTTCGACTTTCTAATGAGAATAGTCTCATTTGGCAAAAAGTAAAAACAAAAAATACATCTTTATTTACAGTATGCCGATGTGAAGAAATCATGATGATTCCTTCCAAGTTCTTTTAGTTTTGGGGGGGTGAAGAAATATCAAATGAAGCTGAATGAAAACCTGTGTGGTTTGAACAGTTTGCTGTTTGAGTTTGGTTAAAAAACATGTTTTTAATGTTTGCTCAGGTTTTACCGTTGTCCCTTTTTAAGGCTTGAAAAACCTGATCAAATAAAAGCTAACGCTCCTCGACACTTGACGTGGAGAATATTATAAAGCTTCGTCAAGGCTGTTTCCATGAGTCTTTGCTTTAACACTTGAGTTAATTAAAATCAGACACTTCCAAATTATAACTTGGTTTTTGGAGCTACCCATCTTACCCTTGTATGGTTCGTTATCTTAAGAAAAACAACAATTTTCAGACCTGTTACAATCTAAAGTCAGAATAATGAGCCTGTTTTGGAGAAAGTCTGGATCCTGGAGAGAGGAATTGAACAGAAAGCAGCTCTACTTTAATACACATGAAAAAAATTACGCTTGAAAAAAAATGCAACCGTTATTGTCCTCGGTTCCCAAATGATTAAATGGTGTAATTAAAAGACAAAGCAGTGTGACCCAGTGACAAACTGGGCCACGTTACCTTTTCCTACTGGTTTGTTTGTGCTCTCAGCTGAATGACCTGTTGTACATCTGAAGTTCCAGATTTATTAAATCGTCAAACACATTGGTTCACTAACCTCATTATTTTGTGAATTCTCTTCCCCGCAGCTGTATAACAAGCTGAAATGCGACGACCAGCAGCTTCACGATCACGTGCAGCAGCTGCTGGGCGAGCTGGGAGGAGAGACGGAGGGAGAGGACGAGCCGGCGTTGGACGAAGACTACGAGCCCTGTAGTGACGAGGAGGGGGCGGATGGAGAGGCAGCAATGGAACATTAACCACGCCCCCCTTTAGTTTGTACCGTGTGATTTTTCCTGTTCACCATCATGTCTCCCTCTTCTCACCCTCTGGGCTCTCACCTGCCTTTATTTTCCTGCTTGTCCTTCCTTTCACGTTTGTTTACGACAAAATATAAATTCACATGAGATGCGCCAACAGGATTGTATTAAAAAAAAAGACTGCAGTCCACTCCATTTTGTTGAGGTCACTTGTTTAATGTTTTTGGAGAAAACAAATCCTAACTTGAGTAATACCGCCCTTAATCATTTTGACAGAATGGTGTTGATGAAAGAAATTAGTTTCAGAGCTTTACATCGACCTGCGGCAAAAGCAAAGCAACGTTTGTAATTCTCCAGGCCAGAGTACGGTTGATGTTACATATACATACACATATATGTTTATATTTATGTGTGTGTATATATAATAATAATTAATTCATAATTTGAACTTCATTGATCCTACATTTTAGGATTTTTTTTTTGTTAATAGCAGATCTGCTGCAACAGGCTGCCCCTGGGAGGCGCTAAGTATGTGGTTCTTTGGGGAATTGAACCCAGGACTCTGCTTGTGAGGCAGGTGTGTTAACCACTACACAAATGGAACCTATATATGTGTGTTTGTGTATATTTATTTATATACACATTACAGTTAATTATGATCAATTACAATTAACAATTAATCCTGATTAATCAACATCTACCCTTTGATTAATCAGGATTAAAACCATTATTTAACAGTCTCAGCTTTACTTCAATGAGATACAGTTTGTTCAGCAGAGTGAATGTGATTTTTGTGCTGTCAGAGATGTAGCTTTTTTTAAATTCTCCGACACGTTAATGTAACGTAATACCTCTGCAAATTGGCGAAACATTTCTTTTCACTCCTCTTTTTCATTCTCTAAGAGCTTATCTGGCTGGAAGGAGAGGCAGCGTTTGTACATCTGAGTGTGAGGCTCCAACAAAAACAGACGCTGTTTCCAGACAAAGCTCCTTTTTTAGTAACCAGCAGCACAAAAGCAAAACAAAATGTGCCGAGGAAGTAGGGTTGGAATTTTGGGGGAATTTTTTTTTTTGACTTTTGGATGTTTTCATGATTTTATTTGGCCAAAATGTGATAGTAACAGCGAGGCTGATTGGCCCCATCAGAATACTTTCTGTCTCATGGCTTCTTGGCCCCGTCAGTTTTCATTTCCACTTAAATTGTCTTCATGCGTTACACACACTGTAACACACGGACGGAATATTTCCTCCCTCAGAATATTGAAGAAACACAACTCGGTACAGCTTTGTGTCCCCTGAAGAATTTAGTAAGAAGGTAAATGGAAATGTTATCTGAGATGCTGCTCCCGATAGGAACACAACGGCCGACTGAGAGGCCTGTTCAGGAAAAAAAAAAAATAACACGGTGTAGATGCTGAGATTCCATCGTACGTTTGTGTTGCAGGAGACGTACTGGCATGCGTGCGTATGTGTGTGTGAGTCCTGTGGTTTTTGTGCGTGCGTGTGTATGTGTGTGTGAGTCCTGTGGTTTTTCATAGTTTCGTATGATGTGATGTGATGCTGTTTGTGCAGTGGGCTTCGCTGAAGAGTCTTTGTGTCTGCGATGGTTAGTGTATGAAAACGCAGCACGGGTGGAGACCTTGAAAACTTCCTACCTGGAGCGATGCTCTGTCGCCCAACATTTGGTTTTATAATTAAAATGGGCTTCATTGTCTATGTGAGTTCCTACATCTGTGTGTGTGTGTGTGTGTGGAGGGGGGGGGGGGGGGGGGGGGGGGGGGGGGGGGGTGTTGGTGCGTGTGATTCAGCGTGTGTCCATGTGGCTCATCTGCAGAGCTGTGTGATTAATGACTCCAGGGGTGAGTAAGCGTCAGCGGTCAGCCCTCTCTGGTTATTCTGAGCTGACCTAGTGTGAGTGGGCATGGTGGACTCAAAGCCCCGTGTGGCTGCAAAATCCTTGGCTGCTCTCTTACCTGTACATCAACCTCCGCACCGCGGGAGTGTTTTCACTTGCTGAGTGAGGGAAATGCAGTTTCCACACAAGGACACACATTCAATCAGGAAAAGGACACATGCTGTTTGCTCATATTCTCCCCCACTCTCTGCAAAAATTGCTTTCCGAGAACCAGAAAGGCAGTAATGGTCCTGCGTCAGATCTATGAGATTCACTTTTCATGATCGAAGGGTCTTTGGATATGTAGAGTGCATGCGAAAAAATGCGAAGAAAAACATAAAGACACATGAGTAATTAACGCCTGAAGTGCATTCATGCGTTAAGCAGACTTTGTCTTCTTTTACCTTCGTGTCAGGCTATCTTTGGAGACCTGAGCAGCGTGTGTTCAGTCTCCAGGGAAATCTTCCCATAATTAGGGTTTGTGTGCACATGAGTGTGCCAGTATGTGTTTTTAATAATCGGCGTAATGAGATGAGTTGGAGGGAAGAATAATCTTGGATTAACAGCTCAAGAGTGCATGTTGTCATGCAAGTGAAAACACACACACACACACACACACATTTTTCTGTTTTGTGAGCACTCACATAATACATTCCCAAGCTGCGGCTAACTTTTAAATACAACAAAATTAAGACTAATCTTAATCCAAAGGACTTGAATTCTAATCCTAACTTCAAACCAAATCTTCAAACTTCTACCTCTGATTCAAAGGCCGCCGGAAAAATGTGCCCACAAGGACAACATGTCCCTGCAGGGATTGTTCCAGAATCCTGTCCTCACTAGCATAGGAATGCCAACATCACACACACACACAAACCAAGCGTTAAATCAGGTAACTGGATACTCCAAACTCTGTGCATGTTTGTTTGTTTGTTTGTTTTTTATCCAATCTTGTGTCAAGTTTACATCATTGACTTCATTGGAAAGTTAATCAGTGTGTTCCCCTGAAGGTAATGGGGCCAAATAATCCAAATCTGCTGATTTCAAACTCAAAACGGAGAGATGTGTATTTTACACTCGCTCACCTTTTCCACTAGACAAAGCTTCCTTTTACCTATGCTCACAGTACAGCTCACGTACACTCATACGTAGATGGGACAGAAAGAAGACGACAAAGGCGGTACAGCTGAGAAGAATTCTCAACACTGCCCCTGGTGGATTTATTGCTAAACAACCATCTGAAATTGAAATGGACGTACAGCACCGTCATATGTACATATAGTGAGAATGATCTATTCTTTAAGTGTTCATATCTTATTTTAAGTTACAACTATGATAAAAAAAATGTCCCCGCTACTCCATAATTCCACAGACGAAGTCATAGTTGATGCTTTTAAAGGATGGGAGTGAAAGGAGTGAAATAAGAATTTTCCTCTTTTTGAGTGACATGTCCAGGGCTGCTGCAGACCCTGCAGTACATTTAAATGACACCAAGTAAAAATGTTGGGCAGTGAAAAACCAGACCAGCAGTACGAAGAATAAAGAGGACCAAATGGACTCGTGAAGATTGACAGGCAAAGCGATAAATTCTTTTTGCGGCGCACTGACTTAGAAACATAATGGAACTGATGGTTATCTTTATCGCAGGTTTTCCTGAGAGCCACTGTGGGCAGCCATGATTTAGCTGACCTTTGTACCCCGCCGTGAAGCCATTTCCTGTACAGAGTGGATTTGGCTGCAGTAATGGATGCAGTGTTCCTGACCTGGGACTAGCTCCGCTGCAGGTGGAAGGGTTAATCCTCTGGGCTTAGCGCGCTTAATATGGCCATTAAAAGGCGATATGGTTTTTCTTAGAGTGGTCCTATTGGAAAATAATCAGTCCATATGGCAGGGAGTCGGGATCCATTACGTGATTGATTTGATTGCCGAGTCGTGGAGGAAAAACTTTGTGTGAGAACCGTTGTTTTTCACTTCATTGTTTTCTGCGGAAACTCATTACATCTTGTAATTGACTCAGAAAAGTCTTCATTATTGATCCGTGTTTTTGGTCAATAAGGCTATTTTAGACCATCCCACCGCTGCTATTGTCTTTGGTTAGAAGGTGTCCGTGCAGCTTGTGTGTGTGTGTGCGCTTCTTTTGTTTTGTGTGCATGCATAGCAATCAGTGGTGGGAGCATCTGTCTCTCAGAGATAACGTAACCAGGGAATTAGCCACAGTGTCGTACAACCAAGTATCACATCTCACTATTACAGCCTTCTAAATTATACCCTGTTACACCTGTCTCTGTGTGTGTGCGTGCATGCGTGGCCGTGTGTGTGTGTAATGAGTGTAAAAAATGTGCTGGCAGAGGTGATATGTCCTTGGGCATCTGTGCCAAGGTTTAAGAGTATCACGAGCCCACTACCACCCCGGTCCTCAGATCTGTCTTCCTGCAGGAAACCGGTCCTACACAAACAGTTTCCTCTAACAAGAGCCAAACACGCTGCGAGTAAATGGGATGAAACAAAAAGTAAAAATAGAGAGGCTTTTCATGATTTTCTGCTTGGGAATAATAAACAGTGATGCATCTTTTTGATGTAAGAGCACTAAACAGCCCGGAGCAACGGAGCTCTCCATACATCACACCTGCAGAGGCAGCAGTGTCTCCTGACGCTTCACTGGTGACAGATCACACTTTGAACTGCTCCTTCATGGGATTCCAAAAGTGAACAAAGTGATGCATCAACCCAAATTGGGCGCGGTGTATGATTTACTGATGCGACTCACTTGTTATCTGGGTATTCAGTCGGGCCGAGCGAACAGAAACGTCGATTCATTATCAGATGCAGCTGGATGGTGAGCGGCTTAATCCTTTTAATCTTCCTTGACCTCTTACGTTTCTGTGTAATTTAGCAGCTGTGCAGAAAAATACGCTTCACATTGTGTCAGAAATGCACACACACATTTAAAATAGTTTTGGCCCACGCAGCGCTGTATATGCTTTTATACTTTGGGACAACTAAAAAACTTTTAATAAATGTTGCAGTCAGAGGAAAGATACATGGAGGATTTTTATGGTATGAAACTCAGCAAAGCATATAATAGTGTGAGTGAAGAATTTCCTGACAAAAAAAACTTTCAAACTACAGAACCATACTCTGAATGGATGGAGCAGAAGAAGTAAAGAGGAAGCTCAGCCTTCTCTAAAATGTCATTTCATTTCAATTACCAAAGTTGGCCAGTAGGTCAACTATACCAGGGGTGTACAACCTATGGCTCCTGAGCCACAGGCAGCTCTTCAGTCAGTGAGGCTTTT